CTAAGCATTCTGTGCACACTTCATCAGTAATATTGGCTGTAGGACCTGGCATGGCCAGGTGGTTAGGGCACTTGTCTCATGATCTGAAGGTCACCGGTTCGAATCCCCATCCCACCAAACATGCTCACCCTTTCGGCCAGTGGGATGTTATAATGTTATGGTCAATCCCACTATTTGTTGGTAAAAGAGTAGTCCAAGAGTTGGTGGTGGATGGTAATGATTAGCTGCCTTACCTCTAGTCTTTCATTGCTAAATTAGGGATGGCTGGCACAGATAGCCCTCACGTAGCTTTTCGCAAAATTCAAAAACAAAAAAATGAAAGTTGTTATTAAACCCTGTGGGGCTTTTACAGCTGTTTTTACACATTGTAATGGACAGTACTTGTGATAAAGAATTCACAACAATACTTTAAACATGTAAAATTTATGTTCTTGAGTTTTCAGTGTATGTCAGTTGTATCATGGAATAAAGATCAGTTTTGAAACAAGTAATTACTTATAAAGTTTATTCATTACATAACTTTGTATAAACTTACTTAGCCACCTCATAATTATAACATTGAAGTCAAGAAATTGAAAATATGCAAATCTGAAAAACATTTTCAATGCTGTATAGGAAAACATGCTGCTGCGCCACCACAATGAAGCCGAATCCTTACATGCAGTCCAGAAGCTGGACTGGGAATGGAAGATGAAAGAACTTGCAATGTGTGATGTGAAGGCATGTCCTGTAATTGATGATATTTATGTACCCATGGTCCATGTAAGTGATGATTTTGATGTTTTGCCAGCCTGATCAAGATGTGATTTGTACTTACAGTGATATGAGGGATCACTTGAGAATTTTTTTTGGATAATACAAAAACTATGGGAATTTATGTTTTAGAAAAGGGAGATCCCTCCTTCATCTTTAGATGAAACGGGACATTGTATTGTGATGATAGCTTTAAAGAAGTTTGATTATTTATCTCTCAAGTGAAATAACAGGTGTACATTCAGTTACAATACTTAAAACTGATTATTGTGACATTCATGTGTAATTGTGAGATAATTTCCATCAAATATCAGAACTTTGCAGAAATGTACTTCAAACAGGGTGACTCCTGTGCACAAGGAAACATTCACTTAGCATATGTGAATTCTGTAACAACTGTTGTGTAGTATACTTGTATCCTTTTAAAGAGTGTACATCAGTTTGTTGTTAACTCGTAATTAGTGTATAAGTGCATAAAACATCTGTGTATTAGTACATGAATATGGGTTAATAATTTAATGTTTAATACAGAAATAAATAACAAGAAATATTGACTTTCATAAATGTAAATGGTGTTTGATAAATATAATAAAAATACAAAGAAGGATGGTAACTAAAAGTAGAATGTTGACAATGGTTATATATAAGTGTAGAAAAATGTAGGTTGCTGGATATAGAAACAGATAATGTTGATAAGGACATAAAGAAACTGGGAATATTGGCTACTGGATAGAGAAATGGGGTAGTAACAATTTTGTAAAGTATACAGGGAATTATGAAAACTATGAAGATAGTGGGAATGATGATAACTTTGCAAAGAAATGGACTATTTTAACAATTGTATTAGAAATATAAGCTCTAAGGCATCTGATGAGAAACAAATCCGATTTTTGTTGGTGGAAACAGCATTTACATAATAAAGTGTTGAGACAAGAATAGGTTTATTAAAGACACAAATGCAGAGTTGATATCTGTTGTAAAAGAACCAACTGAAACTGAAGTACAAGTGGAGGAATCTTTCTAAGTTTAGTAAGGAGGTTTTTGGGAACTGTAAAAAAAGTAAAGGGTTATTGTTATATAATGAAGGTGGAGGAATCTTGGCAACTGTGGGAAAGTGGATAGTGTAGTGGGAACTTTAGAATAGATAATACTGACAATTAATATAGGTAAAGGATATTGTGGAACATTAAACTACTTGGAAAGACTTACAGAAAACTGTTAATTGTAGCAAAAATACAATATATTGTAATAACTATAGTGGTAATACAAAAGTATTGACAGGTTGGAAGTTAAAAGAAATTAGTTACAACTGTCTGAAATGAAAGTCAAAGGAATGATGACAGCTCTAGTGGATGAAAAACAGACAACTGTAGTAATAGTAGATAGTTTTTAACAGCTGTGCTAGAGGTAAATTCCACATTGGCAGCTGTAACAATGGAAGAAAAACTTGATTACTGATAATGGTGAAAACTTATTTGTAAATGTAATATTGGTAAACAAATACTGAGAAAATTATAACAAAAAGGCACTGGTAAATATGATAACGTAAAAGTAATAAAACCTGAATAATATAAAATTATATATTGTGTTAAACAAGTTCAGTTACATAGGAGCTAGTGAAAAATGTTTGGCAGAAGAAATTGTTTCTGTCAAGTGAAGCTTTTAATTATAATCTGTGTTTGTGTTGGAAATTTTAGATATTCTGTTAATTCTTTTTATTATTGATTGTGGAAATATAATTTCCATTCTTAGTCTCAAATAAAAGGGCTTGGATCAGAGTGATATAATGTTTTTGTGAAAAATAGTGTTGGAATTAAAGTTTCT